GGGGTTTATATAGGGCTTTAGGGGTTTGGGGTTTGAGGGTGTAGGGCCCTCGGTCTCTTTTAGAACTTTTGGATCAAGGCCTTTGTGCTCTTTTCGGGTTTAGGGTTTAAGTCCCTCTGTCCTGTCTCGTTTACGGTGTGGGGCTTAAGGCTTTAGGGCACTTGGGCCCTTTTGATTCCCTAATATGTACGAGCTTAGCGCTGTCTAGGCTGTAAGGGTGTTTCGGTTCCTTTCTAGGCCATAACCGTAACCCAAGGTTCCTGCGTGTAATAGACTGTCCCTGGGATTATACGATGCATTTTCCGTAGGGTAACCAGCATCAACCTAGTTCTGTTGGGGGGTCCTAACTGCAAGGATCCAAGATTAAAGCGGTAGGGTCCACGGTTTAGGGTTTGGAGGTTAGTTTTTTGGGTTTACGGTGTCCTAGTAAAAACAATACAGGGTACCTAGAGCAGCTAGGAGTTCTATATACTATAGGGCTTTGAGGCCTTGAGGGTTAAGGCAGGGTTTAGGCATATCCCTAAGAACCCAACAACCCAACTTTAAATGATGCAAGGCCAAAGTTAAAGGTTTGAGCATTCACAAACCCGTAACCCTAAACCCTTATAACACCTTTCGCTGAATCTAAAGTCTTCAGAAAACTGTGCAAACCTACTATATACACACACACACACACCAACAACAATGTACTGTAAAATCAGCCCTATATGATGTATTCGAACCCCATGGGATCGCTCGAGGCCCTCAACCCTAAACCGAACACATCCCAAAGCCCGAAGCCATTACCCGATATTAGGGTTTAGGGTTTAGGGTTTAGGGGATACTCCCTGAGCGATCGAAACAGAAATGCCAAGCGTCTCATCTCCACCCCGTGATTGATGAGGGTGCACACCTTGATTGAAGGGCTGGTGGCTCCAGCTTAGCAGGTTTGTGTGAATAGCTATCCTTTTCTCGCGAAGCTCCCAACAAGTGAATAATGAAGGGGCCTTAGTACTTTGAGCACTGTTTTAGGGGGGTATATTCGAATATAATCATAATGAGGAACCTGGGAAAGATTTGGCAACTATGCAGGCTTCAATCTTACACGCTCAGATCCTAGTTACTCCTGGCTTTTCCTTGCATCTCCAGAAGACACCCCCCAAAGGGTCCAATGTACCTATATAGTATAATGTAGGGTTTCTATATTAGGAATAGATATTCTGATTTGGGAAAGTCTCCCTTATAGCGGTGCTTAAGACCCTTTGGGGCCACAGTCAAGAAGCCAGGCCATGATGGCGCCGGACGCGCTTCGCCTGCGGTAGATCGGCATGTTTGATGCGGGAAATCCGATGTCCGGGGGCGTGGAACATTGAACTTTTCTTGTGGAGTGCTGTTCTCATCTCCCGTTCGGACAGCTATATGCCGCACGGCAGACATCGCACGCGTTGGAAGAAAAATAATCCGGTGAAGTTGTCAGCGCAAATGCAGCGGACACTGCTTCTGAAGCGTTTCTCGGGAATCCTATAAGCCCGACCCTACCCACTCGGGGGTTGGTCCAGCCTTGCCCCGCCGAAGAGTCCGTGATGGCGGGGACGGAGTGCGGTTGGGCCTCCTGACTACGGCGGCCCGCAACTTTAGAGTAGCCTGGGACTTTCTGAAGCGTGTTTGCCCGCCCCACCCCCATGATTCGTCGTGAATTCCAGACAGTTGCAACATGGATTCAGGAAGAATCGTCCGCCTGTTCTTTCTGATTTCAGGGCATGGTTTAGGGCTTAAGGTTTAGGGTGGAATGATCACACGCCAACTTACCCTAAACCCTATAGACCCTTTTTTGCATCAGGACTTGTGCAATCGCCTGAATATCCGAGCCCGCAGAAGTTCAGCTCTCAAACCCTAAACCCTAAACCCTATAGAGCCTGAACACCAGTTGTTGCAGTGCTCCTGGCCTGGGTTCGCGGTGCCACACTTACGTGAGTTCCTGTTTAGGTTTTAGGGGTTAGGGTTTAAGGGTTTCGGGGTTTAGGGGTTAGGGTTTAAGGGTTTCGGGGTTTAGGGGTTAGGGTTTAAGGGTTTCGGGGTTTAGGGTTTAGTATCACTGAGCCAGAGCACCCCAAACCCCAAACCCAGAGAGCCCTAGCCGTCGACCGAAACCCCTAAAGCCTCTGAGGCCTCTTCGCCAAAAAGACCTGGTATCAGCCAACCACACCTACACATCAATTTCATAAGATCTCATACCGCAATATCCCAAATTGGGGGAGCTATAGGTTTCAATCGAGTATATGAAAATAGAAAATATATGGTCTACTGCAGCATGTTACAGTATACTGTAGTACATTACGGACCCAAAGCCCTAGACTGCAAACCCTAAACCCCGAACCCCAAACTCTTAAACTCCTAAACCCTAAACCCTACTGTGCTGCATTACGGGTTGGGCTTTCGGGGTGTCCCTCCACTGCAGGTCCTGTGATCCTCCAGCGCCTTGGGGCTGTGCACGGGAGATGAGCTGCGGCGCGTCTGCCAGGCGGTTTATCGACTCTCACACTCGCACAAAGCCGGCAAAGCTCCGCATAGTTCTGTCTCCACTGCGCTAAGGAGTAGTGAGAAGGCTTCACCACGGCACACATTCCAAAAGTCAGGCCAAGTAGACAGTTTCTAAAAAAACAAAACCAAGAACAGCATGCAGTTGTACCCCCTGACTAGTTCCAGCTGGTGCTCACTGTTTCAAAAGAGTAGTGTACATCATCATGTCGCATGCAGGCTAGCCCTTCAGTAGTTGTCGAGGTATCACACGCCAAGTGGGGCCAGCTTCAAATGAATTCGCACATTCCAGTCACGCACAGGTAATTTCGCATTCCTTCGGTCTCAATTCTCGCTCCTGTGTCGAGCCATGCAGATCATGTACATACCATCTCCAGTTTGCACAGGTTCAGGAAGTCATCGTTTAGCAAGCGTAAATCATGCATGCATCCATGTAGAGTCCACATCGAGGTGACGAATTCAGCCATGCTGTAAGGTGTCACAAATCCATGCATCAAGCACTCCTCCCGGATTCGTAAATTCAAGAAGGTTTGGGGTTTAGGGTTTAGGATCCAGGTGTTTTGAAGTCGCAAATCGAGATTGTTGGGCTGTCGGTGTTAGGTGGTTGGACATTTGAGATCTGGGGCTTCTGCTCTCTCTGCTTTTCGGAAAACTTTTTTGTGCTTATGTTACTTATGTTTTGGAGGCTGGCTCTTTTGGGCTTTGGGGTTCTTGAGGGTTCGGACGTGGCTGAATATGAGCCATGAGAGCCGTAGTGTAAAGCCTACGATATGAAGACAGAGAGCAGGCGAGCCGACATCAACAAACGGAGCCACAACCTCCTCGAGCTGAACGTGGGCTACTGCTATTGTGGCCTAAAGTTCAATTCAAACGCCGCTGCCCTGTACGGGAAAGTCTGTGTGCATACGAGGCACAATCCACTTCTTCATATTCTTGCTGAGGTTCCGCTCCGCACGGAAGTGGAGAGTCTTCGCGCTCCTGCACGCACAGATGTCCATGGCAACGAGAGAGGTTTGACTCGACAGCTGATGAGGGTAGCACTTGTGCTGGGGCCGCAAGGGTGTATCTGAGGATTCAGGGCGGGAGATGCAGGTTGGAAGGAAACTTGACCATCACTTGACTTTCAAAGTTGAGATATGACCCTAAACCCTGCACCCTAAACCTAAGACCTTTGCTCTGACACACCTGAAACCCGAAAGCCCTAAACCACAAAGCAAACCCAGACTAAACCCTACACATGAACTGGGCCCTACGATTCGCAGTTTGGGTTTTGGGATCTAGGGATATACTATTATAGAGCCCTAAAATTTGAACAGTTGATGGGCTTTGTACCACTTTAAAAGGAGTGTAGGATGTCGAATCCTGGGATCTCCACCGGCAGCCGGGATTTAAGCCCCCCCAAGGGCCTCAATCCTTGGGTCTGGGACTGGAGGGCATGAACCTCAAAGCTTTAAGTTGCTCTCCCCTTTTTTTTGACAAGGGACTCTGCTGCTGCCCTTACTGCCCAGCTTGACCCACAAGACTTAAAACCCAAGATCTGGTTTAGGGTCTATGTTTTTTTGTGTTTTGGGACCTCTTTTCCGCCCAGCGTCTGGGATTTGGGGTTTACCCCCAGAGCCCGCAGGAATCTCCCTAAGCCCAGCCTGTCGTTGTGGCGCTTTCGCATCATTCGATGCAGCTTCTGGATGGGGGCCCTGGGATAGTCTACCCTTTCCGGGCAATCTAGCCGATGGGGCCTAAACCATAAGTGTTGAACTGACTCTAACCTATAGACCTGATTACACCTCAACCGAAATTTGAGACTAGAGGGTCGCAGATTGCTTTTCAAAGTTGGGGCGCTGACTGAGAAGCCAGGCGACAGTTGCAATCATCCCTGGTCGGGTGCAAAGTAGGTTCATCTACGCAAAACAGGGATGCCCACACTCGCTCGCATGCAAAACCGGTCGAGATGCCCTCACGCAGACACTCGAGCACTGCTTCGCGCGACCTGTTTCCGAAACTCGTGCTATAAACAATACTTTGGAAGCTTAACCTGTCCATGTTGTGAAGGTCGTGCATACCTTATAAATGCCTCGAATCATGGAACGTTCTGAAATCAGGGAACGTGGTGGGTGGGCTGCTTCAGGAATCCGTAAGACTGCACGTCATGGAACAATGGTGTTCCAAGAGCAGATGTAAAGTGAACGTGTTAGAACAGGAAAACTAATGACCAGTCCAAGCCACGAGAGAAAAGAAATGAAGTCTCAATCAAGTCTTAACCCCCAAAAAAACGAAACTATCGCCACATTATCTGCAGCATCACCTGTGCATGCAAATGCCACCCCCTCCCTCGAATATCATTGTCCTCGAACGCTCCCAAGCCGCCAAGCATTACACATCATTACACAACCCATATGCCAAGTACCTGAACTGAAAAAGCAAGCCCCGATCCTGAAGCTTTCTGGCCATGACGAAAACTAAGCACCGTCAGCCCTGCATGCCCTGGACGGGCAGGCACATCTTCGCTGACCGGATGGAGCTTAGGTGTAATGTAGGCATGGAGTTCGTGAAAGGCCGACCCCTGATTCGTAAACTCCCATTCTTGAAGGGCCCTACTAATACAATCGTTTTAAAGGTAGCAGGTTCTATGATTCTATGACTAGGCATAGGTGTTGTGTACATATATGATTCGCGTGGGCTTGTTGATAAGTTCGAAACCAAGCAGAAAATGACTCAGCTTCTCGACAAGGCTCTCATTAATTCCCCACGCCTCCTGCTCCTGCGGCAGTAGGCAGCAGGCCGTCACAAAGCCGTAGACTCAAAAGACACCATGAACCCCTTCATAAAATCTATGCCCCCAAAGCCCTGAACCACAAATTCCTACATCCCTAGCACCCAGGCATAACCGACTCAAGCCTTCATCTGCAAACCTTCCCCTGACTTTGCAGAACCCGTGGATCATATGCTAAACAATAGCTCTGTTTGAGCTCGGACCCTCCAAGATTCAGCAACAACACGGTTAAATGGCGTTTCCATGAACCCGACACTCTGAGAGGAGCAGCTCAAATCAGCTCCCTCGCCTCTCTCAAAATTTCCGCACCTAGCCGCCCTTTGCAGGGTGTCGGACTCTCAAAGAAGCTTGACGTGCCTGGATTTTGGCGCTGAAGAATTGCCTCCGAGGGCAGCAGCTTGCACAGTAAAGCCCAACATAGTACTACTTTAGTGCTAGCACTAGCACTTTCTGAGACTACTACTACCACTACTACTACTACTACTACTACTCCTCCTCCTACTACTACTACTACTACTACTACTACTACTACTACTACTACTGCTCCTCCTCCTCGTCCTGCTGCTGTTGCTGCTTCCCTTGCTACTGCTGTTACGGAAGTCAGTGCAGACCTCCAACTTAAGAACCAGAGTCCTCAGATTCTTAGCCTTAGGGCCGCGGGCAACCCCCAAATTTAGAATTTGAGCCCTGGGAGTATTATCTTCCATAGGGCTGCAAACCCCTAAATTAAGAACCTAAGCTCTTAGATTCTTAGCTGCCTTGGCTTCTAGAGCTCCAAACCAGGATTCTGAGCCCTCAGATTCTGCAAACCTCCCAACTCAACGTCTAAAGAATGCCCTTTTCACTAAACCATAAACAACCTAAACCACAAAGAATGCCCTAAAACCTAAACGGTTTTGCGGTATATTGCAACCCTAAACCCAAAACCCTAAACCCTAAACCCCAAGAACCTCAGCCCCCCTGACGCTTGGAAGGCAGAAAAGCTGTAGACATGTCACCAACCTACAGGTTTAAGGTTTAGCGCGTAGGGTACAGTACAATACGTGGAAAGTATGCCTATATGTTTTACAAAGTAGGAGTTCTACTCTATTATGGTATTGATGAACCTTATGGTTCGTATAAGTATCCCCGATAAAGGTACTTGGGACCCTCTAAGAGCGTGAGGGTCCCTGACCTGGCGTGGAGCAGATTCTTAAGCAGCGCTTGCTGCTCCTGTTCCTGTTTATCTACTGGCTTGCTCCTATTTACTTCGGTATCCATTTCTTTTCGCTGAATGTTTCTGTACATATCTGGCCAGGGAGCTTCTGTAAGCTCTTCATAGCTGCGCGGAAGGATGAATTGGTGATCCTGAGCACACCCAGACTGGGGCTTAGCTGTGTGAGCTCTCAACTGTAGCTGTTCGTAGTGTCAGGTGGCGCAAGATGAGGTGAGCCTTTTCTGCCGGGGATTGAGGTCTTTGAAAGAAGGAGGGAGGGAGAGAGAGAGAGAGAGAGGGAGAGCGACAGAGAGTGAGAAAATGAGAGGAGGGCAGGATCGCTTGAAAATAAAAAGCATCTGGCTTATGGAGTTGCTGAGTCGCATCCGTGCACTTGTACGGCTTCGAATATACTGGGTTTTTAGGTTTTACCAAGGCAAGGCTCGGGAAGAGGGATTATGAACCAGCATCTCCAGTTTGGGTAAAGAAAACCGACGATGGCCTTCTTGGCATGTCTCCTACACTTCTTGCGGCAGGGCGCCCCTCATCCTTCCCTACACCCTACAGATCCTACAAATCACTCCAGACAGCCGTAACTGTCATGAACACAGTTTGACCGTGAAAGCCTGGTGTTTTTTAAGTGTCATAAACCCTTTTGCGCTGCTTTTGGGGCTCATGCACTTCAGACGCGCGCTCAAAAAAGGACCTCAAATTGAGACCTTCGCCCAAAAGCCTCACAGCCAGAAGTGTCACCCATCACGACTTGAAGGCTTTCATTTCGGCCTAACGTCTACAGCTGTAGAGTCCAGGGCCTGCGAATTACCAAATGGACCCAAGAACTCTTTACACGAGCTCCTTCAAATTCTCGTCCCTAAGCCACGAAAACCAAAACCTTCTGAAGTGCTCACCCGCCGTCAACACCTTGGAACCCTTTATCGTACAACACCAATGCAAGAGTCCAGTCAAACACTATACGGATTAGGGCTCAGGGTTGAGGGTTTGTGGCTTGATGTAGAAGGACCCCATTCCAAAAAAATACAAACCGAAAGGTCAACGACCACTTAAGTTGTCAACCTTTCAGACGTCTGGTCCCAACGGCCTATGACCTAGTAGGGGCTCTGAGTTTTGACGCAGCACCCCACCCCTCCCCCCCCAAAAAAAAACTCGGAACCATAATCCTGCAAAAAGGCGAGTAACCCCAAACTCAAAAAACAACACCACCACAAGTTTAGGGTAAAGGAAACAACACATGGAGGCGCGAAACTTAAACCTCGATCGAAAAGGCAAGGGTCGCATCCATGGCTTCGGCCCAGGGCGCGACACTCCTGGCGCGGCTTTTGTCGGATTCGGTGCAAGCTTTAAACCGTTTTTGCTATTTAGCCATCCAAACCCTGAGCCCTGGTTTGAGCCCTGAGCCCTAATCGGGGTTTACCGGGTTGATGGGGCCAAGATTATCAGGCGCAAAGATCCCTAAACTTTAGTGCTGGTTGCAAGATTCGGTGTGAGGGTTCCTTTTAGGGTTACAGTCAGGTGGTCTTGGCAGAATTCTGTTGGGAAACCTTGCAGTTAAGCTTAGGGTGGGGAGTGGGGATGTAGGATTGCGTTGGAGCACCAATTCAGGTTCAAGGGCCATAACGGGCAAACCCCAGTTCCCTCGACCGCAAACAGAAAGCACCTCGACCCTGCCTCTAGAAGAGCATACACCATTCAGTAGTGCTCCTTGGCATGAAACCTTGCAATTGAAGCCATGCAGGTACCTACCTCTGAACCTGAAACCACCAAATCCCTCAAACCCTAAACCCTAAACCCTAAACCCCCAAATCCCTCACACCCTGCAGGTTCTGCCATTCTGCCCTGGCAATCTCACCAAACACAAGAAGAGCCCCGACAGAACCAAGAGGTGAGGGCTTCTGGCTGAGTCTTTGATGGGGTGTTATAGGGTTCCACATGGCTTCAGAAAAGGTCGCCCTCTCTGTCTCTCTCTCTCTCTACATATATATATATATACATACACATACTATATATATATATATGTGTGTGTGTGTGTGTGTCTATGTGCTGCCTCTTGATTCACGCAACCGTCGACATTGGTGGAGTTTTGGTCGCACAGGACCTACCAGCTGGAGCTTGCCGCCTCTTGATTCACCTGAGGGCGGATGGTCTTGCCAGTGGCCTTTCTGGCTTTGGCTTGATCATGCGAGGAAGCGACAGAAGGACTGAGACCGCACCGGGTTACCGACCACGGACATACCGATGGAGTCGGCCTGGTGCGACGCCAGAAGCGTTGAAGTGTTGTCGCGGCGAGGGACGGCAGCTCAGCCAAGTGCAAACATGGCCACTCCCTCAAGTAGTTGTCCACGACATCGCCGACTCCAGCAGGAAGCTGGCTCTATCTGTGTCTCTGCTTGTGAAAGGGTGTGTATGAAGAAGTATGATCGAGGCTGAAGGTTTTATAGGGGTGCTTCAAGGCTTTGCTGGATTTACACGGAATTGCTTCTTAAGTGCTTGTTTAACAAGGGTGTTCATGAGGATGCTTCTTCTGAGGGCTGTAGTGTTTGATGACAGCTCCGAAACCCGAAACCGAAAGTAAAGAACCTTCGGCCTTCACCCGATCACCTGAAACACTAAGCCCCAAATCCAACCCGGCAAACCATACATATATATATATATATATATATGCTCGCCCCCCCCCCCCATGATCTACCATCGGTGGTTCTGGGGAGTGGGGAGAACACGCACAGTAATGTAACTGAAACTGTTCCAAGCCGGAACTCTCCTGCTGCGTTGTTATACTGTACGATATGTGATGCCGTGTCGTCTATTGTGTGTTCATGTATACTAAGGCCCTTACACGTC